TTTTTTTTACTCTTAAATATCTACTCTTAAAACATTTCTTGTTTGTTTGTTTTATAATGGGTCCACATTAAAAACAATAATAATAAAATAATTCTAAAAATGTGAATTAACAACAATGTTCTGTTTTATAATTACAGGACAGTCAAGGAAATGAGGTACCAGAACTTTTTCTGTAATTTTACACAATTATTTCTTACAATTTAACCCCAAAGTCATCCTGATAAAATTAGTTCATGTCTTATGGCAACATTTTTTTTAATCAAGCAGAAAAACTGAGACAAAATTTTGAAATTGCACTTTTTTCTTATATTAAGATATCACAGGCATTAAATGTGTAGATAAACCAACCCACTTGAAATCAAAGTGGGCTATATGTGCCCCCTCAATGTAAAACAAATTTGGCATCCCAGCTTTGGAGGCATGGATGCAGGTTCACTGAGTCTGTGGAAAACTTTGTGTTCTGTGGAATGGACGTGTTGCCTGTGGACGGGGCTTTCTCGTGCCTTCGTGCAGATCCTCAGTCAGAATGGGTAAAGTTTGGAGGCCAAGTCAACAAATCTGACTTTACGTCCAGTTTTTGCAGTGCGTATTGTGCACTGTCCAGCTGGAAGAGGCTGCTTCGCTAATAAGGTGGAAGAAACATCCAGATGAATGGCAGCACCTAAGGCTTCGCAGCAGGTTTTTGCATTGCAAGAGATGATCGGAATTGTTCGGTTCATCTTGTTTTTAATGTTATAGCTGATTGGTAATGTATATGCAGATGCACTCAAATGAATACAGTCACACCAAAGTAACTTCACTAGAATAGTCCCCACATCATAAGCCTAAAGGAAATATGAGACAATATGTGAAAACAGAGACGCGCAGACTCAGACAGCTTGTGTACATGAGTGGAACAAAGTGTCCTGGCAGTCAGACCTAGTCGAGGTACTCCAGCTCCAGAAGGGTAAACTGAGTTCATGTGACACTGCAGCGCATTATTGCTCGCTCTCCTTGAGCTGATCCAAGTTATTTAGTTGATGCGCTGAATAAGTCCCAGCGTCCTTAAATGTGATCGTCTGGAAACTGGCGGGCACACCCTGAGAGGAAATAGGCAATTTTTACACTGGCATTTGAAGCAAAGACACACTGCAGATTTTCAAAGGCTTCCTGTTAATCAGGTGATTGATTCTGGCATCAGTGTAATTTAGTACATTTGCAAAATAAGACTGAAAAGGCAAACTTTAAAAATAACACGGAGATAAAAGAATTGTGCTGTTAAGGCTGTAATATTAGCATTTGCAGAATAAAGTGATTCGTTTTCACCACTTGAGGTAAATTTGAGGTAATTTAAACAAAAATTGTTAAATTATTTAATACAGTATGCACAAAAAAAACTATAAACATACATTTTAAAAATAGAAACTTTAATCAATTAAAGTAATACGAGAAGTAAATAAGGCTATGCTTGCATAATAAAAAGCCAGGAAACCCTGCTCAAGTAGAACTCAAAGCAAGCAAGAACAAATAGGGGTTTTTTAGTCATTAGGTAAATCATATGTGAAAAGGTCAGTTGTTGCACCGATTATGAAGGCCCTGTCACCTCTGCTCTTTTAGCCTGGATCTAGGAGAATAGGGCTGCAAAAGTTATGTGCAGTTACTTCATCAGTAATGAAAAATGAACCGGTACTCAGTGACTTTCTTTA